CTGGGCGGTGGTGGCGTACGCCTTTAATCCCAGCACTTGGGAGGCAGAGGCAGGCGGATTTCTGAGTTCGAGGCCAGCCTGGTCTACAGAGTGAGCTCCAGGACAGCCAGGGCTACACAGAAAAAACCCTGTCTCGAAAAAAAAAAAAAGATGTGAGCTCTTCACTACCTATTATGTTCCAGAGCTGTGCCTACCTACCTGCTGCAATGCTCCCTGCTAAGATGGTCATGAACTCACCTTCTGAAACTGTAAGTCCTGGATCACTGTGTCTTTACAGCAATAGAAAAGTGACTAAGACAGTGTCTCGCTCAGATACAAAGTTACCAAATTATTGCTTTTATATGTGTGTTATCTTTACACCTTGACAGTAACCTCTGAAACATAATACAATTTTTAAATATATTTTCCCCTTAAATGTTTCTTATTTCTTTAATTTTTGGGAATTTCATATATATGTGAGTACATTAAACTTATATCCCGACTCTTCTATACTTATTACACATATGTACATATCGTTAGGCTGACCGCTTGAGACTGCATAATCTATCAGGGAACTTGTCCCTGGAGAAAGCTGATTCTTGCTGCTCAGTGGACATTAATTGCTTATTTGCTCATTACATGTGGGGAACACATGCCCCAAACACACGGAGAGGTCAGAGGACAACTCTGAGGAAACAGTTCTTTCACAGCATCTTCCTTCTTTTTCCATAAACAAATAAAAAAAATCAACATTCCTAATAATATCTTTTTTCCCTAAAAATATCAGTTTTGAATTTACTATAAAATGCTAAGCATATTTTTTATTAACATAATAGCTTTGGCCTATACATTTACATGGTTTAAGTTTTACTATATTAACATAATAATGCAGAGCTATGATACAGAACCATGACTTGGTAGCAGTTAAATTAAGTGTAAACTACTGTTTGGAATAGGAAGGTAGCCGAATAAAAACGATGATTATGAACGCCATGCTGCTCCCTGTATTTGGTAACCATTCCATTGCAGTGATAGTCAGAAACGCAAAGATACACAAAAGCAAGGAATCCACAGGCATACAAAGATGCACACACAAAGAAGCAGACAGGTGCCATGAGGCAGGCATGCATGAGGAGAGGAGATAAGTAACAGAGAGGAACTCTCCTTGCTAGTCCACCACATGCACATGCAGTGCCAAGTTCTGATACAAAGAACTCAGAGACTGAACCTTCACAAAGTGCCTAGCTGTGCACATCTGAACCAAAAAGGATGCACTGCGACCTGCCCCTCCTCCTGTGGATGAGGGTACCAACTGAGAGAGAGAGAGGGACTGGTTGTGAGGCAGCTACCAGGGAAGTTCTTCTGAGATATACCCAGACTGATCTCAGAGCTCCACTGATGACCCTTCCACAGCAAAGCCTGAAAGAAAGATACACCAGGACAGAAGAAGCTCAGGGGTCAGGACACCTTTGAAGAGTCTCAGAATGAAGAAAGGTAAAACTGCTGGGATCTAAAATCTCATTGGCATGGAAACAGCTGTGGCAATGGCCCAAGGATACCACAATGTCCACTTGAATGAGCTGGGAACAATATGGAACAAAAAGAAAAAAAATGGCCATGAAATTGACAAGAAGTTGGCTTGTCAGTGGTTAAAGGTAGAAAAAGAAGTAGAAAAAATGATACAAATGTATTTTTTTTTATTCAAAACATGGATACGGCCTGCATAGATTTAAGCCAGATGGAGGCCAAGCACTGAGAGGGGCATGGAGACATGAGATGCCATACCTAAGCAAGAAGCTATATCCAATCAGCATATGCTCACAAAGTAAAAATAAGCTTTGCCAACGGAATTTCACTGCATATGTTAGCCATACTTAGCCACATGACAGCAGTAGACGGCAAACACAACATAAACTCCATGGTATTTCTGTATACTTCTTATCTCAAATTGCTTTGTTTGGTCATTTCTATTTATGTACCTAAATATTTATTTTTAATTGCCAGATTAAATAAAATCTACAAAATATTGAGGTAAGAAGGTACTTCTTTTAAAAACGTTTGTCAAAACTTCATGAGCTATAAAAAAGAAAATTCATTTTTAAAAAATCTAAAAAGTTTCATATTCTTTAACCCCTTCACTGGGTATTTAAACTAAATTTCATAAACATTATAGACTAGATCTTTAAAGGACAGACAGAATAGCCTTTTCTCTAAATTCCTCTAAACTGAAGTCAGGAGGTATGTAGTAGAAGCTTTGGGCATGGAATAGTTAACTGTAAGATTTACGCAATGCAACAAATTTTACATGTTTACATATCTGCCTCAGTTTAACAGTACTGCTTCCAACCTGGATCTCTGTTCTCACAAGGCTTTACAACCACAGAAGTGATTATACAAAAGCTACAGGGCATGAGAGATCCACGGAGACAGGGACAGCGGCCTAGAGCTATTCCTAATTAGCTGAGATCCCAGGCTATGATGCTCTATCCTCTTTTTTCTCTATGCTAACCTACATTCCCAAGGCCCCTCACATTAACATCAACCTCTGCTATGCTGCCTTCATCTGCAAGAAGGGCAATGTAGAAATGAAGACTGCAAACAATTTTAGCTCTTTACTGGATCAGCAGAACCCTTGTCTGCATTCTGTTTCAGATTTGTAAAGGTACCTGGGTCTTACAGTGGTAAGACACCAGAAAGCCAAGAATTATACTATAATTACACAACAACATATATACTTTCAGCTTTTTATAGACAAGTTTTCCTTTTACTGTAGGACATATGAGTAGCTGATTTATGTCAGACATGAAACTATTGAAAACTTGTTCACTGTAAAAAAAAAAAAAATCCAATAAAAAGAGACACTCTGGCTAGCTCACAGAATATACTTTTTTACAGTGCAAAAGAGGCCCTTTTCTGTCTCAGGTAGGTTCCAAGGTGCATGGCAGTCACATTATTCAGTCCCAAAGACAATGAAATGTTAACTAAGATTACCTTTTCTCCAAAGATGACGAAAACGTGTATCCAGAGGCTGATTAAGAACCACAAGGCAGTATTTCAAGTTTCCTAAAGAGAAAGGAAAAGGTAAAACACACACATAGAGGAACTGAGCCCCACACACCATCTGGGTGAGCATCGTAAGCTCCACATACATGGAGCTAGACTGCAGTGGCAGTCCCTCTCATATATCTTCCTTTTTTAAAAGGTCATGTCGATGGGACTCACTCTGTTCAGAATGTCTTTCTCTCACATCATTTATCTGAGAAAAGCATCATGAAAGTCGTTTATAGTAAAAGAAAAGTAAACATTTTTGCATGATATGAAATATGAATTTTCAGGGGCTGGAGAGATGGCTCAGTGATTAAGAGCACTGTATGCTCTTCCAGAGGTCCTGAGTTCAATTCCCAGCAACCACATGGTGGCCCACAACCATCTGTAATGAGATCTGATGCCCTGTTCTGGTGTGTCTGAAGACAGCCACAGTGTACTCACATACATAAAATAAATCTTAAAAAAAAAAAAGAAATATGAATTCTCAACGTTAAAAAATTTCTACCACTGCTATGATGAAGTCCCCTAGCAGCTGCTTTTAGAAACCCTACCATTTTTGGAACCTGGTGGTGTGACTCGGGGGTGAAGGGGTAATAAATATTTTACATTCATTCCTACTCGCCCATGTTATTATTTTTCATTACACCTCACCTTATTTGAACTTTCTAATATGAAACCACACATGCATTCTCACAAACACTACAAGTACATTTATGACTCTTTCAAACAACACTATACAAAGGCATGGTGAATGTTATTTTCTGAATTGTTTTATAAGGGAAAAGAACACAAGCTCAAGAAGAAACAAGTCTGAAGCTGGGATGGGATTCAAAAATGAATTGCCTCTGAACTCCCTACAGTGAACTGTATACAATACAACAAAAATGCAATGAGGCTGCTAGGAATCTGTCAGCTTAGTTCAAGCACTCCTCAGTTAAAGAAACCAAATGATAAGAAAAACCATGCTGTAAGCCTTCGCACTACTAGAAACAGAAAAAGATGAGGTAATGAAAAGGCTATGTCATCGTGTACAACAAATCTTACTAGTAACCACAAGCATTCACTGGAGGTACAAAGAAGAGGAAGTTTGCAGGCTATATGTGCCAGAAGATGTTGATAATATTAAGATTGCAATCAACAGTACATGAGGAATGCCAGATACCAGATGCCAGGAATTTGAAAGAAAGGAAGTTGTGGGATATGGGAGGATTCAGAGAGGATGGGAAAGGAGGAAACAATGGAATTACACTATAATCTCAGAAAAAATTAAAGTAAAAAACAATAAAGTATCCTAATGATGTAGGATATTAACAATAACATTGCGAATTTTAACAGTAACATTTAACATGTCATTGAGATTGAACTTGAGGGACTTATGAAGTACGTGGTACAAGAAGGAGTTGAAATGTTAAGTGGTTAAGAGCACTTGCTGCCTTTGCAAAGAACCTGATTTCAGTTCTCAGAATCTACTAAGGTGACTCACAACTACTGCAAATAATGACATTATTTTATTTTAACAATTTCTTTTAAAATTATATTTGTTTAATTGATTAGCTATTCAATTACTTACTCTGTAAAGGAAGGATGTGGTGTCGGGTCAGAGGTCAGAGGATAAGTTGAAAGAACCAAGCATGCATATCCCTAGGACTGAACTCGGGCTACAGAGCTTGACCACAAGTGCCCTTACACACTGAGCCATCAGCTGCCCCAATCACAGTGTTTTTAACACTTATTGCATTGTTTTATTTTTAACTTCTGTTTTTCTCAATATTTTATACATTTTATATTTTAAATTTTTTAAAATTAATATACAAACAAATGTGGTGGCACATATCTTTAATTCTAGCACGAACCACACAGACACAGAAGGATCTCTGTGAGTTCAAAGGCAGTCCGGTCTACATAGTAAAAACCAAGCTTGCCAGGGGCACCTAGTGAAACCTGTCTGAAAGTCAAAAACAAAGATAACAACTGTGAACCAATGCTGAAAGAACTGTCCTCACTGGGGGTGGAGAGAAGGCTCAGCAATGAGGAACACTGGCCACTCTTACAGAGGACCAGGGTTCACTTCCCAGCACCAGCGCAGAAGTTCGTTAACCATCCTTAACTGCAATTCCAGGGACTCTAATGACCTCAGCAAACAAAATATGCATACACATAAAATTTAAAAAGGAAGGTATATGGGAATGCAGACTTTAATTGCCATCTTGGTGACAGATGCCAAGGAAGCTTCAAAGTAATACAACCACTTACGTGTTAGCATCAAACTGTTGAGGCTCACACCAAGCAATCAAATTATACTGATGGATGAAGACAGAAACATAGTCAGAGGAGGAGAAGGTAGGAATGGGGAGGGGCAGTCAAAGTATCTCTTATTCACCTGATGTATTTGTCATCTCTGAGGCTCACTGCCTTTGTTTGCTAACTTAGGGCTAGACGTTTCTAGCCTCCATACAACCTTATCTAGACCTAGAATGTTTTCAACCTCAGACATTCTGCTGAATAAGCTAACCTGATCTGGCTCTTTCTCACTTCTGGCTGGTCAGTTCAGCTGTTCTAGCTCAAATCTCCTGTCTCCTCTCCAAGCTGACTTATTGAGACTGGCTTCCTTCAGATTCTGTCTGAATTGTTCTGCTTGACCTCCTACTAACTTTGGCAGTATGTTGTAATCTTCTGACTCCTTCTCATTCTCTAGCTTACTCTGTCTTTACCTGTGTCTACCTTTTTCTTTCTCCAATCTGTCTCTTTACAATTGCCCCAGTAAGAGAGCCCTCTCTCCCGTCTCTCAGTGCTGCTCTTTTTTTGTTTGTTTGTTTGTTTTGTTTTGTTTTTCAAGACAGGGTTTCTCTGTGTAGTCCTGGCTGTCCTGGAACTCACTCTGTAGACCAGGCTGGCCTCGAACTCAGAAATCCACCTGCCTCTGCCTCCTAGGTGCTGGGATTAAAGGCATGCGCCACCACTGCCCAGCTAGTGCTGCTCTTTCTTAAGTAGCTGGTAGAAATAGCTTAACTGTTCTTAAGACCTCTTGTCTAAGAAAATAAATTACATGTAGATGAAACATAACTATGAAAAATCTCTGAACAAATATTCTATACCAAAGTCAACTAAAATAATTGAATTACTAATAGACTATGAAGAATTGATGTCTAATATTAGAAAAGTAACAAAGAGTAGTATAAACATGCTTCGGAAAAATCTTTCCTGCCCTCCCCAAAGTGTGAAGTGATGGTGTGCTCCCCTTACATAATAAAAAGTTACCCTTCCCTTCCTAAGGTGCCTTGGTATTGATAATAAATGATAAAGTCACCCTATCTTCTATCACCTCCAGCTTCCACCTGAATGCAATGTCCTCAGCAGAAGTAATTTGAAAAGGGTGTTTATCTTCTAACATCTGAAACAATCCTTGCCAAAACCAATGGTGGCCTTGTAGTATAAAACCCAATAACTAACAATCCCTTTTCATCTTCCCCAAGACATCTCGGACTCAGCGCAGAGTAGATAACTGGTTTATCCTACTTTGTCATTCATGCTAAACCCTACAGTCCTGTACATGAATCATGGAGAAGTTCTTTGTTCTGGCTATATTAAATGCTAACATCTCCACCGCATATCTACCTGCACTCTGAACCTGCCATGTTCTTCCTAATAAATTCAAAAAAAAATATTCATTCACTGTTTTTTTATAATATTTCCCTATTCCAGAACACAAGCTGCTGAATCCATTGCCTACAACAAGGAAGTTTACACAGCAAGCACGCAATCAATCTGATGAGTAGCTCTTCCCAGACATGTCATAAATTAGTTTCAGCTACTTTCTTTAATAAACAATGACTCTGTCCAATTCATCCTTATTCTGTCCTGTGGATGCTTCCCTAATATAGTTCCTTACAATATGAAACTACTTCCTTCTAAAAGCAATAGTCCTGCCTATAACCTGAAGCCCTGAGCAGCCCTATTAAATGAATAGTCCATAAAGCATTTCTGAGAGGACAGCAGAAAAGAGCAATCAGCACTCACCTTGCTTTCACACAGCTAAGTGGTGCTCTCGTCACTACATCTCAAGACTACCTAAGAACCAGAGATAAGCCACAGAAGAGCAGCTATTCAGTAAGAGCTAGGAGATACTTCCATTGAGAACAAATTGACTTTTTAAGCTAAATATATGTTTATCTTTAACACCTACTTAAGAAATCAAAGAATCCATATAACATGCATTTGGTCCTATAAATTTGACTATATAGCTAGTTACTATCACTCAAGTTTTCAGGTTGAAAGTGTGAACGGATCTGAAAAGATTTAAATCAATTTCCCTTTGAAACCATTATCTCCCATGATGCAACAGAAATGACTCTGACCATGTTTAGCTACTATAAACTCGATGCCACTATAGACAAAACAACTGAATACATTTTCACAAGAATCCATATAGGCTATGAATGTATGTAATATGTTACAATTAGTAAGGTTCTATGGTGTAGGAAGTAGGATGAAGAGGACATAAGCTGGCAAAGTGCTGAATCTTTCTTGCTATGAAAGTAGAAGGCTACCTACAGAATGTTTTCTTCTTCACGTTTGCAGTGACTAGTGGTATTCTTGTTCCCAGTAAACATTTTCACTGTATAACTGAAATGAATGAAGCTTAATTCTTCATCTAGGCATACTGGCATCTCTTGAATTGCTGATAGAATTCAAAGCTCCACCAATGGTCCCTTGCCTCAGTGACCTGAACCATAATAAACCATGTTTCCTGTCTATCAAGAAAATCAATCACTCTCCAGCAAACTGTGGACAAAATGCCATAACCCTAAAGGTCCATCATAAAGTCCTAAGAAATTACAGTCCATCACATCAGTTTTGATATATTGACAGGTCAGCCTAAAATATTCTTCATACTTGAAAAACTCAGTTCTGAAGATTTCCTAAAGACAAAAGCTATATGAGTTTAGAATATGCTTATCAAACAAATACAGAGATAGGCACTCCTATATCCCAACGAATTCTAACATCTCTCTCTC